CCCTCGGTGTCTCACTCAGCAATGCGTGTCTCTCGCATCTCTTTCCTAGCAGCACGTGTCTCTTTCAGGAGCACGTGTCTTTTTCAGCAGCACGTCTTCCTCCACCAGCAGTCAGAGAGAGTTCTGCCTCCAGGAGGCCTCCTTTTGGGCCTGGAAGGGTGGTCAAACTAGCCAATCACAGCATCAGAACTCTAAACACGTGAGAGAGAGTGGGAACCTCCCAGAACATTGTATTGTGCCACACCCAACAAAAATAACCCAGGTGGGCGACTTTAAAATCAGGATCTCCTCAGTCGCTAATAGAAAATCCCACCTTGGGGTTTACAAAGACTTATGGGTAGAAAAGCCACACTAAGTAATTTACTACACCGCAAGTGGCCTCACATACAGATTGGCAAATTTCCTCTTCCTTTTTCTTGATAACTGTATTGTTGATTTATTAACACTGAACTCATAACCAACAGCCTTATAACTCATACTTGAATGAAGTTTATCTAACACATGTATCTTCTCCATGGGCACCATGCCGCTTTCCTGTGCTTAGGAACACTAGATAGCACTTCAGCACTACTCTTGGGGGCCATTTTAAACAGCAAATTCACCAAGTTAACACAAAAATGCAAAAGTGTAGCACTAAATAGACCACAATAAGGACATTCATTTAAGCATGAGAGCTTAAACAAGAAGGGATACAGAGAGTTGGGCAACTCAAAATTTTCAACACTCCATGCATGTCTGTGAAATATCCATGAATGGGCCATCTGAATTTGGAGTTGCAAATACATTTTCGTGAGTAGGTTCCCAAGTATGGAATGTGCAAATAATGAAGACTGGCTGTATTTACTGGCACTATTGCAGGCACTGGGGAGTCAGTCAATGAACAAGTTAGCCAAGGTCTCCTTTCTCATGGTGCTTACATTTTAAATGAGTGTTGGAGTAGGTAAGGCCATAAACAATAAATGTACAAGATAATTCAGACAGTGGTAGGTGCTGTGAAGAAAATAAAAGGGGGTTGATGGTGTGGCTGATGGTGAAGGGGGTATGCCAAGTCAAGGCCCCTCTGAAGTAAACTGAATCTTATGGAAAAAAAAGGAGCCAGCAATGTAAAGATCAATGGCAAAATTCCAAACATCTAAAATAACTGATTTTAACACATTAAATCTACACATTCAAATAAACACCGCTCCTCCGAAGTAGTTTTCTTATAAACTACAAGCTTATTCAAGTTATGGACTGAGTTTTGTAAACAATCAAAAATCACTTATAGTCCAGTATGACGATGATAGGCATCATAACAAAAGGCCTAAGTCTATAAATGGAATGATAACAAATATCAGAGTATTATATAGGATAATAAATGCATAAAGGCTTAAACCTCACCCTAACCAATGAAACCATTACAAATAAGCAAATGGTATGTAAATATCAGTAATAATCCACACCAATGCCATCTAGTCAATTCTGACTCACAGCGACCCCAACCCTGTAGGGCAGAGTAGAACTGCCCCTATCGGTTTCCAAAGCTGTAAATCTTTACAGAAGCAGACCGCCACATCTTTCTCCCCACAGGGCGGCTGGTGGGGTTACAGCTGAAGGAGGGGTTGCTATGAGTTGATCCGACTCCACGGCACATAACAACAACATAGCAGCCAAACACTTAAGACACTGTGCCACCAAGGCTCCTGTTGTTGTTATGTGCCGTCTAGTCGGCCTCGACTCATAGCGACTCCTCCTTGGGTTGCCAAGGCAGTATCACTAGGGAAGTGGATTGCCCAACCTTTCTTCCGAGGAGTGGCTGGTGGGTTTGAACCACCAGCCTAGTAGTAGTAGTAGTAATGAAACAAATGAGCTAAATTTTCTTGGCGGCTTCTGAGTGGCTCTAAAGGTAGTCAAAAAGAAAAGTTATTGTAAGTTCATTAAACAAAACAAAAATCTGTCTCCAATTCAACATCTTTAAAACGTCTATTTTGATCCTCTCCCATCCAGTCTCCCCTTGCCTACCTCAATCACTCTCTAGTCAGCCAGCTACCACCAACCAAAAAACCAAACTCGCTACACTACCAGAGTTCCTATAGTTTTTGTGGGAATCCAAAACCAAATTCACTGCCTTCCAGTCATTTCTGACTCACAGCGACCCCTCCCATGGGTTTCCGAGGCAGTATCTCTACGGAAGTAGACTGCCCAATCTTCCTTCCAAGGAGTGGTTGGTGGGTTTGAACCAACCATCTGGTTAGCAGTCAAAAGTTTTAGGCACTAAGCCACCAGAGCTCCTTCAGCTGTTGCCAGAAACCAAAAAACCAAACTCACTGCCCTTTAAACAATTCGAACTGGTAGCAGGCAGAGTAAAACTGCCCCATAGGGCTGTAAATCTTTACGGAAGCAGACTGTCACATCTTTCGGCTGCAGGATGGCTAGTGGGTTTGAACCGCCAACTTTTTAGTTAGTAGCAAGCGCTTTAACCCTTGCCACCAGGGTTTCCCTCCACCAGAATCGAGTGCCCATTTTTGGGGTTCTTTCCGGGGTGTTCCTGACCCAATACTGCCCCCAGGCTTCAGGGTCCCAACCAAGCCCACAAAAGAATGGCCTCGGCTGGCATACAAGCCTCGAAGCATCTCCTCCTAACCTGCTGACGGGTCGGGACCAGGCGCTGTCCCCACCCATCATCCCGGCAGCACGGGCCTAGCAAACGCAGAGAGACACGCCTGTCGCCACAGAGTTTTCCTTGAGCCCCTCGCAGAGTCTCCCTGAGCCCGTAGGGGTCAGGCGCGGTCACGCACGCAAACGCAGAGGCTGCCGGGAGCTTGGTGCGCAATGGCGGCGCCCAGCCTGCGGGGCCGCCTGGCGCAGCTAGGAAACCCGCGGAAGCCTATACTGAAGCCCAACAAGCCCCTCATCCTAGCTAACCGCGTCGGGGAACGGCGCCGGGAGAAGGGTGGTGAGCAGTTGGAGCCGACGAGGCCCCGGAGCGGAAATCGGAGGGGTTAGGGGGAGGCTAAGTAGGAGGGAGAGAAAGGTAAAGATCTCGTGAGACTTGAGGGTCCCCCCCCCCCATTCTGCTCCTCCAGAGGCGACTTGTATCACAGAGATGTCGGTGATGATGGCTTGCTGGAAGCAGAATGAATTCCGCGACGAAGCGTGCAGAAAAGAGATCCAGGACTTCTTTGATTGTGCTTCGAGGGCTGAGGTGACAGAATCCACTTGGGGTTGCCCTCTCCAGAGGGGAATAGGGAGATACAAGTAATGGTTTTCCATGCCCCTGTTAGGTGATGAAGGAGCTCTGGTAACAGAGTGCCTAGGGAATCTGACTGCTAACCAGAAGGTTGGTGGTTCAAACCCACCAGCCACTCTGCAGAAGGAAGACGGGGCAATCTACTTTCGTAAAGATTTACCGCCTCCAAAACCCAAAGGGGGTCGCTATGAGTCGGAATCCACTCAATGGCAGTGAGTTTGGGTTATTTTGGTTTTGTTAGGTGGTAGAAAATGCCATCACATCTTAAAGAGGGTGAGGACAGTTTTGAGAGCTACTTCACCCAGTTTTGAAGGTTGTGTGATCATGAGCAATTTATTTCACTGCTGTGAGCTATAACTTTACTATATGTAAAATAAGGTTAATACTACTATTTATTTACCTTACAGAATAATGTGTCAAGTGAGGTAATGAATGGGAAACCACTGTGTAAAATTTAAATTGCTGTTCAAATATACATTATTGTCTGCAATAGAACTAAAGATAGTGAAGCTATCTGAGGGCATGTTTCTAGCCTAGACTTAATTGCTACCTGGCATAGTAGTTTCACAACATGAAGTCTTTTGTTGCTCCCAAACCCCTTTTGTTGAAATGGGACTGGAAGATGACACAGATCACTTCAGGCTAGTTAATATTTTACACAGTGCTTTGGGGGCATTGTGTAAACCAAAGGCCTATGTCAGGGCAGACTTTCATTCTTGTCTTTGTTCTGTTTTTTGTTCTGTTTTCAGGCAGCCCGCAAGATGAGATCTGTCCATGATGCCCTTGGAGAGTCTGGGAATTTACCTCCCAAGAAACTGAATACATTGTTACAGAGGTTTCCTAACAAACCTCATGTCAGCTAAAAATGGAGAGTCATTTTCAATGACTAGACTCCATCTTCTGAGGACTATGTGAAGGCATTTTAGAGATATTTGCACTGCATACTCTCTGTGAAGGGTAGTACTAGGATAACACTTTTTTCACTCTTTGGAATTGATAGTCTGATGGTAGTTATACTTTATCTTGAAATAAAATCCTCTAAAGAGAACTTGACCTTTTGTTGTGGTTTGGGTAGCCCCTCCATACTTGAACCCTGCATCTTCCCGTAGACCCTGCAAGTTCTTTGCTCCTTGATTTCTTCTTTTTTTTTTTTTTAACTTTTTATAGTGATTTGGGTGAAAGTTTACAAAGCAAATTGGTTTTCAACAATTCATACACATTTTGTTTTGTGACACTGATTGCAGTCCCAACAATGTAACAGCACTCTTTCCATTTCTTCCCTGTGTTTACTCTTTCCATTCTTCCTTCATTCCTATCCCTTCCTACCTTCTGAATTTTATCCGTGAGCAAATATTGCCCCTTTGATTTCATATGGTTGATTGTTTTAAAGGATGTGTGCCTCCCTGGTGGTTTGTACCTGATTTGCCGTAGGACCAGAACAAAAACTTTGTCTTTTCCTGCATTTGAAGTCCTTTACACCTGTTAGTATCTTTGTCTTTGGATGCACTAGGGATACTGGAAAGCAAAAAAACAAACAAACAAACCCACTGCCGTTGAGTCAGATCTGACTCATAGCAACCCCTCCTTGGTTTTCTGAGACAGTATCACTTCACTACGGAACTAGATTGCCCAGTCTTCCTTCTGAGGAGTGGCTGGTGGGTTTGAACTGCCAGCCTTCTGGTTAGCAGTCAAATATCTTAGGCACTAGGCCTCCAGAGCTCCTTGGGATACTGAAGTCCACCTATATCAGAATTTTTTGTCATTATCTATTAAGTATTTAGTGACTGCCCGTTTTGTGCAGAGCCCCCACAAGATGCTCCCTGAATAATCAGAAATACACAAACTGGTGATATGAAGGTTCTGCAGATGTGTTTTATTTAGCCCACACAGTTAAACTGCATTTTTAAATTAGTTGATTACGTTCAGAAATAGACAATGTTTTCTGAAAAATCCACTTAGCTATTCTTAAAAAATCTAAGAGCTGGCAATCCTGGTTTCTTACTTCCACATGGCAACAATCTATCAGGTAGAGTTGATTATCATTTGTCCCCTTTCTCTATGTACCTTGTATTGTACATTCTCTGTACTCTCCCAAATGATGAAACTGAAACTTAGTTGATTTTCTAGTCCTCTTTGCTTACTACATTATCCTCTTGATCACTGAAGAAGGCATTTACCTCCTGCCCCCTGCCTGCCCACCCCCAATCAGAACTGAACGGGGTAGAACAGGGTTTCCAAGGCTGTAAATCTTTACAGAAGCACATTACTACATCTTCCTCCCGAGGAGTGGCTGATGTTGGCAGCCAAGTGGTTTAAACACTGCACAACCTGGGCTCCCCTTTTTCATATTAGGAACTATTACATAGCATTTTATGTATACTCTGCCCTTTCAGGCATATATAAGTTAACTTTTGTATGTACTTTATGGTATAAAACATGGGACAAAGGGATGAGGGGTTTTTAATTGTCCAGTAGAATAAAGATTATGGCAAAAAAGGGTTCTTGCCTCCCTGGCTCCCTACATCAACTTCTTCCTCTAATCCTCGTATCTCACAAGTAGAGCACTGGGCAACTGCCTGGTTCTGTAACCTGAATCTTTTTACTACAGAAGCTCAGTACTCAAGACACATTGAACTAGACTTTAAAGATTCATAGCAAAACATCAGTTCAACAGCTTCTACATGTATAATTTAGTGGCATTGATTACATTTTTTGAGTTGTACAACCATTCTCACCTCCTTTTCTGAGTTGTTCCTCCCCCATGACTTAGGAATTTTAAATCTGGGGTTAATATACTCACAGTAAGAGGTCTGTGAACTTGGATAGGAAAAAAATTTTATCTTTAACATCAACTGAAATATAGCATTGCAAAGGAGTTGTGGGAAACAAACCACATTCGTATTAGCAATACCTATATGAAATCACAGTATTTTCATGTATTACAGTTGGTTGCAAATATCTCATATATATTCATCACTAGCTTCAAAACTGATAGTTATTACACTTGCTGCTAGATCTTGTTTACTGTATAAACGAAGAAGCACTACTATGCTACACATTAATATTTTGATTACTATTGCAACAAAATTATTTCCTTTGTAATTCTTGTATTTTATTTTGTGCTTTTATAATATTAATCTGATAAGGGAGGGGGTGGTCTGTGGGCTTTATCAGACTGCCAAAAGGCTTCACTGACAATCAGTACAACCATTTTCTGAAACCAAATGCCTCGTTTTCCAGTTGCTTTGCCAATTAGACCCTATATAAAAGTCTTCTGGAATGCAGGCTTTCTGTACTACAACTCCCAGAAAGTGATGCGGCGCCGGGCCTATCGGGAGTTAGGACAATAACTGCATCCAATAGTTGTTGTGTTGTCTCTTGACAGCCTACGATTCCCGGTATGCACGGCGGCCGTTTATTCCTTGGAGATATTTTGGACGCCGAGTTATTGCTGGGATCTGTAGTGGTTTCGTATACCTTTGGGGGGCTGGCTTCTTCTTCCGGTCTCCGAGGGTGGACTCGGGAAAAAAAAAAAAGAAAAGCAGGAAATGTAACAATTAAACAAACATGTCCTATACATTCGCCCGTAGTGGTTCCGATTCCCGTGCGCGCGAGGGCGGAAGTGGTGGTGGCTGGCGCGGCCGGAAGTTCGGATCAGCTGATGGGGGAGGCGGTGCCGCAGCGGCTGAGAGGCCCCGGCCGCCGAGCGCCTCGTACGGGCCCAGAGTCTCAGAGACTGGCCACGATCCCTGTTTGTACCTCACTGTTGGGTGAGGCCCAGCCCCGTATCTCTCCCAGGCCTGAGATCCTCGGCCGGCACGGCTGCCCTGAGCGCCCCGGCTACCCCCAGCCCCGGCTCGCCCCTCAGGCTCCGGGCCTCCCCTCAGTCCCCAGCCGGCGGCCTGGGTCCTGGATCTGCGGGGGGGGACCCGGCTCCGGGGGGTGCGGGCCCCATGGAGCTGATGTTCGCGGAGTGGGAGGACGGAGAGCGCTTCTCGTTCGAGGATTCGGACCGCTTTGAGGAGGATTCGCTCTGTTCCTTCATCTCCGAGGCCGAGAGCCTTTGCCAGAACTGGCGGGGATGGCGCAAACAGTCAGCGGGGCCCAATTCCCCCACTGGCGGCGGTGGCGGAGGTGGCAGTGGCGGTACCAGAATGCGAGGTGAGGGTGGGGGTGGGGGTAGGGTGCTCGGGCGTAGGGCAGGCCCTCCTGCGGCCTTGCTAGAGAGCTGTCCCGGACTAGGAGCTGTCCCGAACCGGGAGCTGTCCCAGACCCGGAGCTGTCCCAAGCTTAGAACGGTCTTCAGGACTCGCTTTTCCGGCCTTCCTGGGTGGGCTGGCGTCAGACAAGGCATTCTGGGGTCTTGGGCAGACTCTTTGCTTCAGTCTTGTTCATACCAGCGCGCGCGCGGCGCGTGTCTGTGTGTTTATGTGAGTGTGTTAGAGGGATGGCAGGAAAATCCTGTGTTGGACAGGATTAGCGACAGAAAGTAGTTTTTTTTTTTGTTTTTCCTTTGCCTTAAAACTGGGCTAAAGACGAAGACTTCTCTCTCTCATTTGAGAATACTTCTGAGTTCAGCCCTGCGGCAGTCCCCAAAGTAGACGGAAAGAGAAAGTGAGTAGGGGGCAGACGGAGTGTTGCCCGAAGTACTGAAGAAGTGCATTGGGAGGTACTTGCATCAGGGTGGATTTGTGATCCCAGCTGCACCAAGAAGGGATCTCACTCAGGAGAAAGTAGTGGTGAACTGGCCTGTGAGAGGATTCCATGGTCCATAGGTTTAGACCAGAGGCTTCTCTCCTGGACGCACTGAGCATTTGTCAGATGCCAAGGCAGGGACCACTGGATTGAAACCTTAGATTTCCATTGTGGGGCAAGGGAAGAGAGAGGGTAATTGTCTGTGGGATCTCGTTTTGAAATACTTTTCTTGATTTTTGTTGTGAGTTTTTTCATCCTTGGATCTTTCAGTGAATAAACTGATAGTGCCGTGGTGGATTTTGCTTTTATTGAAGATGAAGAGGAGAGTGATGCACAAAAGAAGCTTCCCAAGCTCAGGACGCACCACCTCCATTTCCTACCTTCCTTATAGCAGAGTTTTTGTCTTGGGTCTCAATGGAGGTTGGATTTTTTTAGCTTTCTCCCTTCAGCAGTTGAGGAGTGGGATTTGTATGATTCTGCTTGGGGCACATCAAGAGTCCTGTTTTCCAAACTGCACAACAGAGGTTTGTGGATGCCTTTTAGAGCAGTTCGAGAAATTTACATTAGTCACTTTTTAGGAGTGGTAATATTCAACTGTATTTGGAAATATAGCACCTGCCCTATGTACACACATGCACACTCACGGATTATTTGCGTTTTCACTAAGGATCTTTCTATCGTCTTCCTGCATTTCTTATATTTGCACATGTGGGTAGACTTGGAGCTTAGTCCCACCTCACTCTAAGATTTTCAATGAATTAGTATCTACCTGGACAGGTTAAAATCTGGGAAAGCATACCGTTTTTTCTTTCCGCTGGGTTACTCTCAGTTGCTTATTTGTAAAATAAGGTTTGTTTGTTTGTTTTTAAAGGTTCCTTTCAGCTTCATGATTTTCTAATCTGTCTTCTATTCTGACTGGGAATTTGGTAGATGTACAGTCTATTCTATTCCGTTATCGTTGCTTTTTTAAAAAATTAAAACAGCATAGAGAATCTTCTTGAGTGGTAACTCCATCCTACTCAGGGGACTCCAGGAGCAGCAGCTAGGTGTCCCTGGGATAAGCCATCTCCCTACTAGGGCTTGCATTGTGGGAAGTCAAAGTTCAGGTGTGCCAAAGGCAGTGCAGCTCTCTTGCTTCTGAAGATTTTTACCTTTTCTGTTGTTCTGT